GTTGGACTGTCTGATGCTGGATTCTTCTGATGACAAAACACTTCTACTGTAGTTCCCTGGATTCCCGCTAAACCACCAACCACTGTAACACGAATTTAGGAAATGATCTCTGGTAGATATCACTTAATATCCTGAAGTCTCTTTTTACATTGCTTCACCTAAATCATTGACTCTGAGAGAATTGTAGTGAGTTAGGCTATGTGAAAAACCTTAAATTTACTGTGAAAGAATTTGAATTCTAATTTTCAGACAGTATTCTGGATACATTGTAATACACTTGCTATTCATCTTTCAACCAGAAGTCCTGAAAGTTTCAGAAATATTTCCAGTAAGTTGCTTTGTCTGTATGGTGGATAAGGAGCACTTGGAAGGACACTATGGACATTTTCATATGTGAAAACTAGTCACATGTAATAAAAATTAGAATATGGCATATGGGGTCCAAGAAGGCTCTCAGTATGATGATCAAATATAATTACTGGTGATATCCATGTTAATTTAATATAAAGAGCAGCATTTAAAACCATTGGTTCTATCCAAAAATAGAAGAAATTGTTTCATGTGGTCACATGGTGCTTGTCACTAGAAGTGTTTAAACTGGATAGCCAGTGTCAGACAGGATGAAAGAAGGATGCCTCAATTTGATTGAACAATGTGCTCAAACTTCCAATTCTGAGTCCATATATATTTCTTAGTACAGGATGCATATAGTACTGACTTTTGAGTTTATCAGTTTGTCATTGTTAATTCCAGAAGAAATCATGGTCAGATAGTATAAGGATTTATATAAAATAATATATTTTTTTGAGCCTGCTCCATTTTGAGATGCTTTCCCTGTATTGGCTATTTTGATTCTTTTATAAAATAATAAAACAGAAGGTGTAGAAGAATAAGAGATAGGGTCTAATCAAGAGGTTGATGTTTCCTTTTATGTCTTATGAAATACTGTGATTTTAACACCCAGACAGTATCTTCACAGTTCCTGCCTTTTGCCTGAGAGTGGAATTCTTCAGTAGTCCCTAAGGGTTCTGGATCCTGAAACCAGTGTGACTACCTTTTTAGAGAGGCATGTGACAGAGGGCTTGCCTTTGACGTAACCACATCTCTGTGACCAGAAGGAAGTAACCCACCTAGGAGTAAAGAGTCTCACCATTTCTACCATTGTACTTGGGGTAGATGGTAGAAATGAAATATGTACTCTATTTCTGCAAAGGGAGAGATAGAAGTTGTCATCATTTGCTGACAAAATGTAGTTAAATGTAGTTACAATCCTTTAAAGTCTCATTTCCTCTCTTCAAGATAATAAAAATTGTTTTTCTTAGTGACAATGTTGAAGTTAGAGGTTCTCAAATTCCAAACAAGAGCAATCCTAAAGGTATCCTATAATGTAAGATCAGTGCCATTAAAAGACTTATACAGTTATGATGGAAAAATTGAGAATCATACAAGGGATAAAGATTTACCTTGGATTATCTGTAAAACTAGTGAATAATAATGTGAGAGCCTAGGATTTGTAGTTTACAACTTTCTCCTCCTTAATATTTTGTCTTTTAAGCTTCTTTATTAATGTTGAGCCATTTTTTGTTGATATTAATACATTTATGCTATTCAAGCAATATTGGTTACACTTGTTGTTTGCATATTAGCTTAGATGTTTGCTATTCAGGACAAATATGCACAACCCTCATGGTTGACTCTGTTGGGGTGTGTGTGTGTGTGTGTGTGTGTAACTTAAAACTATGTAATCATATAGTGATTGGAATTTGGTGTCTTCATGTTGTATCTCTCTGGGTCTCACTTTGACCTTGGACTCTTACAGGAAACCTATATAACAACCCATCTTAAAAGTAATGCTCTAATGTTCTGACCTATGCCACAGTAGGAGATGTGGAGTAAATAATTAAAATTGCCACCATGAAAAACATTCCACAGCAGGAAAGGGATAAAGAATCTTTCTTGAGAAGAAAAACCACTAAATCACACAGTGAGAAATTAGGAAAAAAATAACAGAGAGCAAGCCATTATAAACAGTGCCTCAAGGAAGTGAACTATATTTTAAAAATAAGACTCAAATTTAGGAAGGTGAAAACATTTCAGTAGTTTTCAAGGCTGCCAGCAATTTTAGAATCAATTTCTCCCTTGACATTATATACCTATATTTTCACAAGTAGTAATACCATATTTATGTTGCTTATAAGAAAGCTACTGGTGGTAAAGCCAATGTACTATACACATTGATCAGAAACCTTCACACTTCAAGTCATTCAGTCATATATTGCTTGGTATAAAAATGGATGACCCATGTTCAAGAAATATATTTTCTGTATTTTCGAATAAAAGCCAAAATAGAGGGCATTGCAAGTTCGCTTAGAATGATGTTACTAACAGATGACTTGTGAACCCAGAAAATCTGAGACAGGTTTCAGTTAATTTAGAAAGTTTATTTTTCCGAGGTTGAGGATGGGCCTGTGACACAGCCTCAAGAAATCCTGATGTGTGCCCAAGGTAGGTGGGGCACAGTTCGGTTTTATACACTTTAGGGAGACACGAGACATCAATCAGTGCATGTAAGAAGGACATTGTTTCGGTCTGGAAAGATAGGACGTCCTGAAGCAAGGGAAAGAAGACTAGAAGGGGGGAGAGGTCGCAGATAGGTGAGACATAAATGGTGACATTCTTTTGAGTTTCTGATTAGGTTTTCAAAGAAGGCAACCAGAAAGCATAGACCTCAGTGAGCAGAGGAATAGCTTTGAATAGTATGAGAGACAGGTTTGCCTTAAGCAGTTTCCAGCTTGAGTTTTCCCTAGTGATTTTGGAGGCCTGAGATATTTTCTTTTCACAGACTCAAATAGTTCAAAGGATAGTGGTGTAATGCTTAATCTTTAGTCCTGCATGTGGGCTGGCACATATTGTTGTAAGTGTAGGTACATTTATTAAGCACTTGCTACATGCCAGGCACTGCTTTAACTTCTTCCCATGTCTTAACTCTGATTCTTCTTAACAGTTCAATGGAGAATATCCCTTTATTATGTCCATTTTGTGAAATTGTCACTGAGGAGGAGAGAGGTTAGTAACTTGCCCAAGATCACACACCTTGGTAGCAGAGCTGGAACTGAACCAAGATTAATTGGCTCTGGGCACATACTTTTAACCACCACAAATGATTTCTAGGTTACAGCCAGAAATGGAAAAAGCCCCAGTTGTTGATTTTCTGATTACTTCAGTATTGCTGGAAGCATTTCCTTAATGCAATTATGGTGCAGACTGCTGAATGCAGGCTGCAGGTGACTGAAGGCAATGTAGCCCTTGGTCTTTAGTTCCTGAGCACATTACATTGCTTCACTTACTACACTTATGCAATGCTTGTGCATAGAGGGGCCAAGAAGATCTGCATGCCAGAGTGAATCTGGTATGTGTATCTGACAGTAATTTGCCTGCCCAGCAATGGAGAGGCGGAGATAGTGGTGTAATGCTTAATCTTTAGCATCAGCGGGGAATGTGGGACTGCATTACGGCCTCGATTTATTTTCATTTCAGTTATATAGTATGCAGTAGAGCTTTTAAATAAAGAGGCAAGTTACAAAATAAATAACACACACACACACACAAAAAACAAAACACCAAACAAAATACGGGCCAGATATCAGTGCCAGCAAAGAATACTGTCCAATAAGACTTTGAATTTAAAATGATTTTTTTCCATTTTAATGTAAGGATTGTAGGATATAAAATGTATATACATATATACATACATATATATGTATACACACACACTTTTTTCAGTTTAATGCATGGAAGAAATTTTAGTGTCTCAAGTTTTCAGTTATTGATGGATGTGGTAATAATGATGATGATGATAGCAGCATTTAAATAGCACCTGACTATGTGCCAGGAGCTATTCTAAGGACTTTTAATGTTAACTCATTCATCACCATATTGAGAGTTTTTAATATGAAATGAAATGAAATTCACTGAATACAATTTAAATATCAGAAGAGTTAACTTTACTAACTTCAGTAGAATGCCAGTTCATATTAGCAAATTTAGCAGAAAAGGTAGATGATCGTTTATTTTTAAATGGTATGGTTTCTTTCAAATCCCAGGGAGCTTTGGGAATCTTTCTTTTAGGTCAGCAGAACAGATGCATTATTCCCCCAGTCTATTCTAAACTAAGCTAAAAGCCCAACGATTCATCAGGTAAGTAGTTTGTGGGTATTATTCTTGGATAGATACATCTAAATAGGCTATTTATAATTTAACTAAATCATGTCTTGAGACACATTGTCACTTACAAAAGGGGGGATGACCTACCAGAATTTATATAAAAATAGAGGCAAAGAGATATTAAATCACCATGTCCTCTTGCAAGTTTATTTTTTTCCCTTTTCTTTTTCTTGTCTGTAATCTTCAAGACAGCAATTCAGTAAAGAAAAGTGGCAGCTTGTAGGAAGACTGTACTCATTTAAGCTCTAGCAGAAATATAGGATAATGCTAGATGTTTCATTCTTTGCAAGAAAATGAAATGATAAAAATCAATATATTTTTCAATTAGGTAAGAAACTCTAATCTCCCACCTCTTTGGAAATTTTAAGTATTAAGAGATGTATAAAGATCACAAATAGAGGAGTCTCAGTCCCTACTCTCTATTTTCAAATGCTCACTTAACCTGTATTCTGAAATTTAACATGTCCAATAAACATTTTCTTTCTCTCAAATCAATTCTCTTTTTTTTGTACTTCCCTATTAATATGAATGATATCATCATTTCCCCAATGGACTAGTGTCAGAATCTGAGTCATTTTCAACAGGTCTTTCTCTGTTAATTGTAATATTCACCTGTTAGTTCATTTTATATTTTTGTCTTAAAAAATGTCTCTTGCCTCTATATTTCTACAGTGTGAGCTACAGCTTAGGATCCAGTCATTGCTTCTTGCCTTGACTTAGATAATGGATACTTGCTGGTGTCCTACCTCTCTTTTCTCTAAATCCATCTGATGCAGGACTCTGAGACTACTGCTAAAATCTTCAATGATTCCAAACTTCTCAGCCTGGAGTTGAAGGACCTTGACAACATTCAACCACTCTACGATTCCTGATAATCTTCCCCTATTTGCCCAACAAGTCTATGTCCTAACCAAACTAGCCTCTGCACAGTTTCCTGAATGTGAGTCATATGTTTCTGTTTTCTACCTTTGCATTCTTTTAAGGCTATTTCTTTCCCTTGGGATAACCTTGGTTTCCATTTCTACCCTTAAAAATCTTATTTGCCTGTATATGTCTGTCTCACACCACGAACTCTTTCTCCAACTTAAAGCACTGTCTTTTCTTTATGAATTTCTCTTTGCACTTCCCTTAAAGTTTCTTGTGTAATAATCAACATCACATTTTATAACACTGGTTCAACTTCCTAGTTCCTACACACATGCATAGATGTATGAGTTCCCTATAAAATGTATTAGGCCAGTTGAATGGAATTGAGCTTTCATCACTCTAGGTACCTCTCAGGTACAAATCAGAAAGGCTCTAAGATCTGCCTTTAGTATATTAAAAACTCACCTGAAACTGTGCAATGTGAGCCCATGGAGCCCTTCTATTACAAAGTAGACTACGTAATGGCATATTTATTTTCTAAGTAATGGACCCGAAAGGACCTGTTCTGAAAATATAACTCAGATAACTGGAATCTCATTTTATGTCACTGTGAGTCAGATGAAGATTTTTAGATTTGCTTCTTTGTTCTCTCAGTATATCACCCTAGCTATGCTTCATTTACTTATCTGGCTCTTCTTATGATACATGGTTGAAAATTTGAATGACTGCCCAGACTTAGAAAGTCACTAGACCCGTGCTTGAATTATAGACTCTAAGCTTATCTCAGCCATGTAAAAATACACAGAATTAGAAGTAAGATATTTCCCTTCACAAAGATTACATATAAATATGGGCACACACAGAGTAATTATTTCTGCAACATTAATACTCATGGCCTTCATGGCAAGATTCTCATCTAATGGGTAAAGGCTATGTCAGAAAAATCTTAGAGTTCAATCTGTTTTTAATTGCTGAAATTTTCCCAAGTGAAATATAAGCCACATTTTTCTTTAATTCTTCCTCTAAGGGAATTTATTTTTTATTTTGCTATGTTGAAAGAAAAAATTCTAATGTGTTATAGTGCATATTTTGTTTTCTGTAATATTTCTGGGCACATTGCACCATAATTACCATTTTAAGATTAATATAATATCTTTGGAATTCTTATACTCATGTAACTGATCTGTTTATGGACAGATTCACTCAAAGTAGTTTGGAGTGAATACGTTTGTGCAGTTGTTTGCAAAGTATGATTTGGGAACCCCTGGAAATCTCTGAGTACCTACAAGAAATGTGCAAGGCAAAAAGTATTTTCATAACACTGGAAAAATACTATTTACCTTTTTCATGCTCATCCTTTCAGGAATGTACAGTAAATTTTCCCAGAGACCACATGATATGGGATATCATAATAGATTGAATGAGAATCTAGCTATCCTTTATTAAGCAAGATATTAAATAGATTTGCAAAAATATAACACACTGCCACTCTTCTCACACATTTTAAAACATAATTTTTTAATAATATTCATTAATTTTGCTAACATTTAATGTGTTTATTGTGGTTACACTAATATCTAAAAAATGTTCTTAGCTTAATTTCTGACATGGTAAATCTGATAAATATAATAATCATAAATAGAAGCTCTTTTGGGTCCTCAATTATTTTTAAGAGTATCTGGAGAAAAAGTTTGGTAATTGCTGTATTAGTGTATATAAAATAAATTCTCAATATTATCAAAAAAGTTATCTATTTATTTGCCAATTGTTTTATTTTTAATTGTGATATTAAACATGACAATTGATTCTATTTCCTTGATTTAAAAAAATTACCTGTATTAGAATAGACTCTTGCTTGTCTTAAAAAGAAAGTGATTGTCTGTTTCGATTTTTTTTTTTTTTTTTTTTTTTGAGATGAAGTCTTGTTCTTCTTGCCCAGGCTGCAGGGCGTGGCATGATCTTGGCTCACTGCAACCTCTGCCTCTTGGGGTTCAAGTGATTCTCTTGCCTCAGCCTCCCAAGCAGCTGGGATTACAGGCACCTGCCACCATGCTCAGCTAATTTTTGTATTTTTAGTAGAGCAAAATGAAATATTTGTTCTGCCTTACCACTATATTTCAGGATTACCTTTTCTTTGATTCTTAATAGTTTTAATTCTAGTCCATGATTATCATTTAGTTATTGAAAATGATTCTAAATCTTATATAATGGACACATAAGTATTCTCAGAGAAATAATTTTAAAACATTACAGTGAGAATTCCTTCAATTTTCCAGAGTCTACATTACTGTTTACTAGGTTAGCATTTATGGATGGTAGTCTTTTCTTGTTATGAAACTAATAGGGATATAATGTAAGCAATATGTATGATATATCACATTATTATAACTAAAATGTGCATCAACAATGAATTGGAATTTTAAAAAATATTTGAAAAAAGCCTCAGTAAAATAAATATTAATGTTCTTCATGTGTGACTTAGGTGCATAACACTAAATAACCAAGAAGTACCATATATTTTTAATTCAGACAACACTGTCTCTAAAAAATAGGTGGTCTCTCAGATACACCATTCAGTGAAAATTAGGGCCAGTGGAAAATCTGTATTTCTGGTTTTCCCACCAGCCTACATCTTTCAAAGCAAAAAACATGTTTTATTCATTTTTGTGTCACTTCTTCCTTTGCCAAACATATAGCACATGACTTGTAGATGTTTGCTTGGTAAATGTTTATTGATAAATGAAAGTAGAAGTCACAGAAAAGGGTAATGGGCATATTTTAGCAGTTGCTGATAAGGGGGAAATTGGTTACTTGGAGCAAAAACAAAATGACTTTTTCACTTGTAGACTTTATGGAAAAATATAATTTAGCATGAAATTGAAAAGAATTGAAAGAAGAAGCTTAATGAAGCCAGAATGACGTAGGAGACATGTGGATTAAGAGAGCTGAGAATTAGAGGCTTGCACTGTGGCTGTTTTCCCGAACTGCTGTAGTTAAGACATTTTTCTTCTGTCATACTTTATGCATTTGTAATTTAGGGGCGATAATTATTATAATTATCCAGACAGAGGATTTCCCTTAATGGGATGTTTCAGTCAAAAATGGACAGGAGGCAGCTGTACTTGGCTCATTTTGTTATGAGTGAGGATGGAAGAAATTTAAAATAAATGTAGCTTGAAATAAAATTAAAAGTGGCATGAATCCTCACTGTGAATTTGGAAAAGTCTTTTTCTTGGTAATTAGCATTACCTCCACTTCCTTACCATTTATATTTTTATTTTATTTATGTACTTTTAGGAACTAATTTTTGGCAAAGTAGGCAGCCATTAGAATGAATAGATAGACTGGCTTTCATCAGGTATTCTACACAATTAAATTTAATTGTGTTTGAATACCTTAAGATTCAGATGTTTTTGCAAATGTTTGGATTTTTTTTTTCCTGAAGCGAAGAGTGATTTTGAATATTTACTCCCTAAATAGGTCACTTACAAATAGTAGACTTAAAAATAAGCAGTAAAATTTGAATTTATGCCTAGGCAGGTGAGAGAACTCAAACTATTTACTAACACAGTTCATTGCTGTTTCCATGGTAACAGAGGCCAGTTACTGTCAGTCCAGAGTCGCTTCGCCAGTTGACTTCAGAAGTGAACTCTGTGTGATGTTGCCAAATGTCTGGCTTCTGTGTTTCCTGTTCCAAGCAATTGTTTCTTATCCTGAATACTAATGACTAGTCTACAAAGGCTGTGGTTGAATACCACTGAAGACGGGACTGTGAATCATATGTGGAAAAGTAGTGAGCATTTTGCCTGTAGTGAATTTAAAAATATATGCAATTGGATTGTACATTCTCTAACTAGCGATGCCAGTAATTTATTAATAATGTTATCTTGCTATTATTAGGCAGCAAAATAAGAAATGACAGCACAGCCGTCATCATTGAATCAACTGCCTTTTCAGAAACGCTTGCTGACTTCGGCTGGTTAGCATCATCATGTAAATTCAAAAGATTGTGCACATGTATGCCAGCAGAAAAATAAAATTGCAACTGGATATTTTTCTTTTAAAAATGTTCATATATTGATTGCTCTGAGATGGAGAAAAAAGCAGCTGCCTGAGATGCCAGTGAAATGGCTGGGAAATTTAAAATGAGAGAAAAAAATTAAAGCATTTGAATAGAGAAAAAAGCTAAGCAGATTTTGCTTTTTAAAAAAGAAGACCACTGTGATTTTTTTTTTTTTTAAGTTCTGGCTGTATAGTGGTTATCAGTGCGGAGAATTGGGACCCTCTCTGCCTGGCTCATACCCTATACCAGACATTTAAGCATCGAACTTGTTATAATCTGTTCCTCTCTGGAGCATAAGTTGCTTGAGGGTAGACTGTTTTCATCATTGTATTTCTGACAGCTAACACAAAGCCTGACACATGTTGAGTGCTCAATAAATATTTAATGAATTAAATGAAACTCTGTGAATCCCCTGCAAGGATTTTCTGGTATTTAAGCCCATCAAATTTCCTGGAAGAATCCTATTAGACTCTTCTTTTCATTAAAGAGGATAATAGCTCACTGCTAACTATATGATATGGAGCTTCAGTTGACAGTTACATATGGCTGTGACAGCTCCAAATGTTTGTTTCCAGCAGACACTGCTCAAAGATGACTCTTCTCATTTTTTTCCCCCCTAGCTAGTGGATCCATCAATCATGGCTTTTGGTGGCATCTTCTGCCATTTCTAACTCTTGGCTTGGCCATCCCCTGCAGAACTTTTACTGTGAAGAAGGATGCTTTCTTCATAGTAAAAGTTCCCAGTAGTTAGCTTTAGGAAGGCAGTTTCAAATTTCCTTTCTTTGTGCCAAATACCAACCCTGGTTCTCAATTGGGGAAAATTTTGTCTGACCACCCCTGCCCAACTTGTCCCACTGGGCATTTGGCTATATCTGGAGTCATTTTTGATTGGCAGAGAATGCTACCAGCCTCTAGCGGGTAGAGGCCAGGAATACTGTGAGCCATCCTACAATGCTTGGGAGAGCTCCCACAACAAAGACTTTTCCAGCACAAAATGTCCATGCATGAGA